CCACAATCTTTTTTAAATCTGCTTTAGCAACTGGCTCAGGTTTTGTTTTGCTACTTTTAGCTTCTAGTTAGCCTTTTGCTACTTTCAGCCACAATGTTCTAGACAGCCTTTTAATAAATGAGCTTGTAGCTAGTCATTTCAGTTATTTTGTAGCTTTCAGCTGAACATTTGATACTGTACCTTTCAGCTAMTTTTCGCTTCTTGCTAATTAGCTTTTGTTAGCCTTTTGATATTTCTTTTAGCTTTTAGCCACACTTTTGCTATTTTTGTCTATTTTTTCTACTTTAGCATTTTGCTATCTTTTAGCTACTTTTAGTTTCCTACTATGTTTATGACAATTTTAACCTAGTGTTATTTCTTAGCTTTTAGTGAAACATTTGCTACTTTAGCTTTCAGCTACTTGTGKTTTTTTAAATACTTTTATGCCTTTTTTGTTTGGCTTTTATTTTATGTTTTTAGATTCATTTTGATATGTTAACTTTTAGCCAGAATTTAGTTTTTTAGCTCGTCTTTTGCTGCTTTTAGACAGACATTTGCTAATTTAGCAATTCCTTTAGCTACTATTAGCTTCTAATGAGCCATTTCCCAAATTTGGCTTTTTGATAGTTTTTGGCTTTTATCCACATTTTTCTAGATTTTACTAATCCTTTTGATGTTTTGTGTCTTCTTTTAGCTTTTATTTTATTTTCAGCTCAATTTTCAGCTGATTTTTTATTTATTTTTCTGAAAATGGGATTGTTTTAGTTCAGCTTCAGGAATAAATCAGATTTTTTAAATGTTCAGCAGAAAGAATTTGACAAACTTTACATCAAACAGAACCAAAGAACACGAGCAACAAAAGGAAGTGTTAGAGGAGACAGGAAACAGGAAGTGAGGTAACAGGTGAACTGATCAACAAAAATACTCAAAACACCAAGAAACCAAAACAAATCCWGAAAGTGACGACTTTTACATTTTGTTCCTTGTTTCTGTTCTTTCTGCTCTCCTGCTGATTTATTGTTTTGCTGCTAAATCTGAAAATTACAACAATTTCTTGAAATCCTGCAGATTATAAACTGGTGTCCCTTCATGTTAAACTTTTTTAAAGCTGTTTTTGGCCTCAGTTATTCGATCAAAGCACAAASTAAAATAAAAGAGCAGAACCTACCGTACTTCCTGAGGAAGCCGTGGTGGACCCCCGCCGGGCTCATGTTGGTGGGGCAGCAGCAGCTGAAATGATGGGCAGAGAGGCTGATGCTGAAAACTGGGCTGAAAGATGGAGAGAGGCGAGAGTTAATCCCTGATTTAGTCCCTTAAAGCCGACAGGAAACTGGAGCTCGTTTCAAACGTCACGTGAGCAGAGAGAGGTCCAAATTATCACAGAAACCCAGCAGGACGGTTCTGTCTGTTGGTTCTGATGAACAGAAACAGAACTTTATTCACTGCTGAACAACTGGAGACACAAACTAAACCACCTGACCTCAGCCAGTGAGGATGACCTCACATATTCTGATGCTTCAGATTAAAACAAGGATTATTTATTACTGCTGCTCAGATGGAGCCTGCTGAGAAAAGACCAGTTTAATGTGTGCTGACCTCCATATTTACACATCATCCATTCATCTGTTCATCCATCATCTGTTCATCCATCCATCCATCATCTGGACACATTCAGTTGTCAATAAATGAAAGTATGAAGAGAAAACCCACAAGTGCACAGGGAGAACATGTAAACTCCGCCCAGAAAGCAGAGGAGGCAAACCTGTGACCTTCTTGTTGTGAAGCAGCAGCTCTAACCGCTGCTCCACCGTACCGTCCTCTCTGGAGTCACCCTGCAGTTTCACAGCCTCACAGTGATGAGCTCTAACCCTAACTCTGCACAGAAACCAGAGTGTATGTCTGTGTGTGACTGTGTGTGTGAGTGTCTGTGTGTGAGTGTCTGTGTGT